AATTTAGAATATAAACATTTATATTCGTAAAATATACTCCCTCCGTCCCAAAATTATTGTCCACCTTACTATTTTAGTGTGTCCCAAAATTATTGTCCACTACCAAAAGTAGATATACATTTACCATATTACCCCTAACATTTAATAAAGTAAACTTGAATAATTACAAACATACATTTCTCTTTGGTTTTAGAAAAGAGCAAGATGGTCATTTTACTCAAAAAGACAAAACTAATGATTTTTTTTATTAATCTATGTGTTTTTTGTCTATGGACAATAATTTTGGGACGGAGGGAGTACTTATTTAGCACACCAGCTATGTATAAAATAAATAAAAAAATATTACAAGTTCTGATTTTTTTTAAAGGGATAATGACTTAAAAGGGTAATATATTTTTCGATTTATACACATTTGGTCACTGAATTTTTTTTTTCGTCCACATTTACCCCTTCAACTTGTTAAACTGTACACATTCAGTCCTTATGACCGGTTACTCCAGGTCAGCAGGGAAAATGACTTAATAGGGTAATATATTTCTCATTTTGTACACATTTAGTCCTTAATATTTTTGTACACATTTAGTCCTTAATATTTTTTTGTTTCAAAATAAGTCATTTTTGTTTTTGTACTCATTCAGTACTTATGAATGTGGGACAATCATTGATAAAGTGTGTGGGGTTGTTGATGTTTATGTGTAACGTCTCATTTTCACAAAAAAAAATTCATTTTAAAATAAGACAAAAGTCCCTAATTATAAATCCATTATTAAGAAAAAACGTTTATTCCAAAATACATTTATCGAAAATCAGATTAATATAAGAAACACGAAATCCTCAATACTATTGACGAGTGTATACAGTCATGCCTTTGCCTTCCCACGATCAACGATATAACTTGAAAACATAAACAACTGGGTAAGCACAAAGTTTGGTGATTTTCCCTCAAAATACCCGATACAACAAACGTATTATCATGCATAACGGGCCCACACCAATCATATTCGAATACCTTGGCCTAATCAGTCATCGGACTGGAATGCCAACATGCAACAAGTTCAATCAGTCATCAGACTGGAATACCCCGGGTTTGTCGGCATGCCGCCTTAACCCAACCGCTCTTCCCGAGCCTCCGTACCTACGACTTACAGCCGATCTGCACCAGGTATCTTGGCCTACAACATATAGCAAGACCACATCAACCTATCCCACCACCATATGACTATCCCACGTAAGATGTCGCAAGAAAAACCTAAAGAAATTATTCATAAGTACTGAATGAGTATAAAAACAAAAATGGCTTATTTTACAACAAAAAAAATATTAAGGACTAAATATGTACAAAAATATTAAGGACTAAATGTGTACAAAGTGAGAAATATATTACCCTATTAAGTCATTTTTACCGGTTAACCTGGAGTAGTCGGTCATAAGGACTAAATGTGTACAGTTTAACAAGTTGAAGGGGTAAATGTTGACAAAAAAAATAAATCAGTGACTAAATATGTACAAATCAAATAATATATTACCATTTTAAGTCATTATCTTTTTTTAAATCATTGAACGTAGTCAATTTTGAATGAGTGGTGGCACTTGGCAGCATATTCTCATATATTAGACTTTGCATGCCCATCATTTTCGCAAAAATCAAAAATGGCTGCTGCCACCGCCTTGGACGTCTCAGGCTACGATCGACCAACGGAACTCAAAGCTTTCGACCAAACAAAAACAGGTGTTAAAGGCCTCGTCGATGCCGGAATCCGCCAAATCCCTCGCATCTTCATCCACCCACCGGAAACCTCCCCCAAAACCTCCACAACTTTCGAGATTCCAATCGTCGACCTTGGATCAAACGATAGAGCATCGACGGTGGAGAAGATCCGTGCGGCGTCGGAGAATCTAGGTTTCTTTCAAGTGGTGAATCACGGGATCCCTGTGAGTGTTATGGACGAGATGCTTCAAGGAGTTCGTAGATTTCACGAACAAGATATGGAGGTGAAAAAACGATTATACTCGAGAGATTTCTCGAGAAGCGTCGTGTATAATAGCAACTTCGATCTTTACAGTTCCGCCGCCGCGAACTGGAGAGACACATTCTATTCATTTATGGCTCCGTCACCTCCGCCGCCTGATGAATTGTCGGAAGTTTGCAGAGACATACAAATCGAGTATTCAAATCAAGTGATGAAACTAGGCAGCTTACTATTCCGATTGATCTCTGAGGCTTTAGGACTGACTGCAAATCATTTACGAGATTTGGATTGTGACAAAGGGCTTGCATTCCTCGGCCATTGTTATCCTCCTTGTCCACAACCAGATCTTACCATGGGTACAACTAAACACACAGACGCTGGATTCCTAACTGTTCTTCTACAAGATGAAATTGGAGGCCTCCAAATTCTCCATCAAAATCAATGGATTGATGTTCCTCCAACCCCTGGTGCCCTTGTGATCAACATTGGAGATCTATTACAGGCGAGTTTAGTTTTTGATTTTGACTCTCAAAAGTCAAAATTGCAGTCTAATTTTGCTTGGTTTCTTTTTTTTTTTTCAGATGATATCGAATGACAAATTGAGGAGTGTGGAGCATAGAGTGGTGGCAAATGAGAAAGGGCTGAGAGTGTCGGTGGCGTGTTTCTTCACCACCGCTTTAGCACCGTCGACGAAGGTGTATGGTCCGATCAAAGAGCTGGTTTCCGATGAGAACCCACCGAGATACAGAGAAACCACCGTTCAGGAGTACTCTCAATATTCTTTCTCTACAGGCCTTGGTGTTCCTCGTTTGGATCATTTGAAGATATAAGTTAGTATAAGTTATAGGATATAAAACGAACATACCCACTTAAATTCATCACCAAAATCATCCTTATTCACTTATATAAAATATATGGATACTTGCTTTACTTGTTTAGTACTCTTTTCCGTTTTGGTTATCTAGAATTCACGAATATAAAGAACATTGTGCAAATATGTATTATAAATAAGAATAAGAATTACATAAAGTTCTTAGCTCTACACCAACCATGAGTGTTTTTGGGAGATTTTAAGCATCCAATAGCGTCCAAGTCCTTAACATTGCTCACATTATCGAAGCTAATGTTCCACCAATTCACAAATTTGAGCCAAGTAGCCTTCGAGAAAGCACAATAGAAGAGAAGGAGAAGGTGATTGGATATACTCTATCCCATTAGTCTATCTCTAGAATGGTACATAACACACCCACAAATCATTTCTAGAATATGTTCACAACTCCTCATTTTGAATTTTTGATAAAGATAAACGAGTGAGGTGTGACTTCTCCCTCTTATTTTGTATTTCTTAATATATTTATTGTTATCAAACAAGATAATATAAACACTAATGACAATGAAAACAAACTATGAAGAAAAAATGTTTATATTTGATGTATGAATAATATTATAATTTGAGGTTGAGAGACGCAACGATTGAAAAGAGAGTGAGTTCTAATCAAATAAAATGATAGGTGCTATAGCTTTTTTGTCCCGAGAAATTAAAATGAATTTTGAAAAGTTTGATGAAAATTGTTGAGAAATATGGTTATTTCTTAATATTATTTGAATCTTAACTTGAAAAGGAAAAACATGAAGTCTTAATGTAACTTGGTATGGTTAGTGCGGGTTTGAAGTCCAAAGTGATATTGAAACAGGGACAGTTGAATATTTGAGTGAAAGTTGAAGTATCGTGCTGCAATATACAAAAGATGGAGGTTATTGTAGCTAACTTGTGAACTTGTCAGAGGGGTTATATTGTAATATTGCGAGTTCAAATTAATGCATGCATTTAACTTCCTTTGTCTTTTCAATATTCATTAGATATTCTTGATATTTTAGCTTTTAGTCTTTTATATTTTATCTATTAGGTTATGTATTCTATTAGGAGCCGTTTGGTATAGAGAAATGGAATTGCAGCAGAGAATGGAAATACAAAGAAAGAGAATTAAGTTGGAGAAAGAGAATTGATTTCACTGTTTGGTAGCACTGAGAATCCAATAGAGAAATCTTTCTGAGAATCATTTCTCTAGTTTGGTTGTATTAAGCAATGAAATGGAAATGAGTTTTTTATCTTGTTTATTCATTTTCAAACAACATTTGTTTTTATAAAAATGCATTATTAAGTAGATCTTAAATTGTC